GCCTAGCTTATTTTTTTAGGACGCCCAAAAATCTTTATATTGGATAGCTCGACATGTTTGCTTAATAAAAATGTTACTTTTCAGAATTTATTACATATCAAAACTAAGCTTATTGAACATGATTAATAGCTCCACCTGATTGACAATAACGAAAATTAAAAATAGAAAATGAAATAATTTCAATATTTCAGGTCTCAAAACTTGAAACTTTAAAAAGAAAATACTAGGCCTATAGTGATTTTTGGGGGGGGGGGGGGTCGTTAGGTAGCTGGAAGCTGAAAACAAATCAGTTCTTAATTTAGTCTCAGATCTCAAAAGATGTCGCCATATCAATATTAATTAATCTTCTTTAAGAACATCGCAAGGGCCTGTGGATTATCAATAGATCATATTGTCTTTTCAGCCTAGTCTATTGTTGTTTCTTTTGTTGACATATTTTAAGCATAAAATCATTGTCGGTATTATGCTAATAAAAATAAATAAATAAATACTGCTAAATAAATCTAGCTGTATTTTATTTCTAAAAATTGTTGCAAGTTCAATACAATTTAAAAGTGACTTTTGATCGGAAGATTTCAACATTAATATCAGTGACTGCTGTTTTTAAATATATTAAGGATGTACAACACACCTACCCCAAAAAATTCCTGTCGTTTAATTTTCGTTATTTTTGTATATTTAGTACATGACTATATCTACTGTATGTATGCACATTTTGGACAGGAACTTCCAAAAGTTACCCCCCTTTAGTTGTTTACGAGGAGAGAAAATTTTTAATCAATGAACTACTTAAACCTTGATTTTCAATAAAACCAGGTTAGATATTAATGTCAAATTTCATTGGCTTATTATTTTAACCATTTAACACAAAAACATAATCATCTTTTTGATATACATATCATCAAAACAATTTTTAAAGACCTTAAACTGAAAAACTATGAATTTTCTAAGCCTTGAAAATTGCGTATTTTTCAAATAAAAAAAATTTTTGTGAAAAAATCTGTCGTTTAATTTTGGTAAAAAACTTTCTTTAGGTAGCTGGTAGTAAAAATAATCTTCATAATTTTTTGTATAATTTTTGTACGACCAGTTTTGATTTAATAGCGGAAAATTACCCCCTCCCCCCTTCTCAATAAATCACGTTCCCGGGCGTCTTTCAGACGGGGGTCGATCAGTTTGTTATATGAATCTACAAATACACATTAAAAATATTGAATTGGAATATTGCTTTTGCTTCAAAAATATAGTAACTTACAAATTTAAAAGTTCTCATATGTAAAGCGTATTTAAATGTAGATTTATGGTCAATTTTTGAATACCCCTATCACCCCCACCCCTTCCTTTTTCGCGTCGCAGACCATTAGCGTTTGACGAAACGTCGTTTACAGTGGAAATATACTGGTATTTCGTCATTTGAATCCCGTAGGTATGCATTAGTTTTTAAATTCATGAATGCAGAATAAATATTGACTACTCTTTTTATATGTATCAGGAAAAAATTACTGAAGGATTTTAGTGTTTAGTCCATATATGTATGCGTTATGCATTCCATATCACATGAAACCTGGATACGAATTCAAGTTTTGTTGAACTTGAATATGTTGATTTTTAATTTTATTTCTTTAATTTTATTTATTAAAAAATGGTGTATGTTCAACTCTCCTGTGATATGAATGGAATAATTGTAGTTTCTTTCATGTCATTATTTCAAACGAGACAGTATGTGGCCGTGGGGATACATCGACATTTGCATAGATGTACACCCCTCATGATATTGTACGCATTCTTTCAATGTCGTCGCTTCTAAAGTTAAAATGAAAATTTCGTATTCGTCCACATTGACTTCAAAATATCAAACATTAAACTCTTAATCTATTTCAATCAAATCGCACATTGATATTTTTTAAAATCTTATAGGCTACGTTTTGTTTGATTCGAGGAAATGCGAACCGACATTGTTGACGCTGCAATAGGATATTCATAAATGCAGATAATTTCAGTACAAGTGAAAAATTCTTTTCAATTCTATACTTACATTGTGTATATGAGGTCTATAGTATTCAATTCTCGGATTTACCAGGTCTTGCTGTAAATGTATCTGATTCTGTGGAAAACCGTGAATAAAGGGAGGAAAATAAACATCTCCTACATTTTCAGAGTTGTTCCTCTTTGACCAGTAAGGGTCTGAGAACAACATCGATTTTACATTGTAAAAAGTTTTTTGTTTATTTATTGTTGTTTTATTTAATCAAAGAAAAAAAAAAACAATATTTATATCGTAAATGCATAAATTGTATAATGAAGACCATTAATCGGAATCATATAGCCAATTGTACATAATGAGAATTTCGGCAATGTAAAATAAAATTTTCAGAATAAAAAAAAAATGCTGCACTTTGATCAAAATACAATTTATTGTATATGAAATGAAATGAAATAAACATTAAGGGATGGTAGTTTATGTCTTGCTTTTTACGGAGTTAAATCGAGTTAATTAAAAAAATACTTATTGATTGAGTATGGTACGCACAATCACAGCCAAGCCCCATATCCCAATTTTCTTTCATGCTTGATATACATCGGGATCGTTTTACTCGTCGTTTTGACGCTTTATTTTTTACGTTAAATTTGACGTCACGTCAAACGTTCAATTGAAACCGCAAGAGTTATCTCCCCCAGTATGTTGTACGTCTTTAAATCTATTATTTCAATTTATTTTTAAAAGTCTTATTTTTTGAATGATAAATATATTTTATAAAGACAAGATGTATATTCACAGATCTCTCGCTCTCTCTCTCAATCGATCGATCGATAAAATATTTATATGCATGTAAGTATCGCCAGGGGAAATAAGTGTAAACTGTCCAAGGACTATGGATCATTAAAAAAACTTTTGCTATGGCGCGCCAAATTTTACAACGCTAGCGTACTCCTAAACCCAAGTCATAATTTAACGTCAATGTAAAGAAATATGACGTCATATTTAGACCAGTACCAATTTAAAAATAAAGGCCCATACTTGTGTCAAAATTTAGATATTACTGTGTTTAATTTAAACTGAGATAAATTAGGGAATAACTATCTTCTAATTTAGTATTTGCGACCGTTAATGCTGATTTAACGGTCGCAAACCCGGCGACGCGTAAGCGGAGCCGGTAAAACGGATGTTACCGTTAAATCAGCATTAACGGTCGCAAATACCAAATTAGAAGTTTAGTTATTCCCATTCTAATGCAATCCATGCATTTTGTTTGTTGTTTACGTCTTATTTTGTTGAATTTTGTTACATGAAATACGTCACGGAGATTTGTATTTTTGCGTCTCTCTATTATGACGTCACAATGAAAAGGCTTTCAAGCTCGTTAATGCTCGTTTTACTGCTTCAAACATCAGTGCATTAACCAATCAAAGAGTGTTTTACAAAACAATTGCATTAGAATGATAAATAAACGAAAAAGTTAAACATGTATTACAAAGCGACATTTTTGTCGGTTTGGCGTTGACACAGTAAACATTCCGCATTTACAACCAATGAGAATTTAGATAATCAAACGTAAACATTACTTTGAAAGATTTGGTGGAAGCAACATGTGCTAGTACATGTACACGTATCCATGTGAAAAGGTTTGTAAACAACAAATGAAATTGTGGAATATACGGTATTACATAAATATATGCATGATCACTTAAATAATGAAGTGAAATTTGAAATATAAGACAAAAATGCATATGAAAAAAGTCCATTCCAGCTGTCATAATACAGTAGGAAATTCGAAAATCACCTATCCAAGTGAGCCTGTCCTTAACTGATCATCATAATTAACTTCTTAAATAACTGTTAATAGTAATTTATCGCTATGTATATACATTGATATAAACATGATAAACACGGACTACATCAATTTTAGCCGAATCGTGTTTAAATTTATACTAATGGTTTTCCAAAAATCGCCAAGTTTCGCTTTCGTTTCTGCATGCTCTGAGTCGGGTTGTATAGTTGAAATTGAAAACTTGTAAAGGTAAGGTAATATTTTGGAATGCGTACAATTTAACAATCTAATTATCTTAAAATATTCAATAAGACAATACTAATGTACATTATTAAAAATGTGATTATTCTCAGCTGTATATATAGTTACATGTATGTACATGGAATAACCTGAGGAGTTTTCTGAAACTCGAGACGTGCAGAACTCGGGGTTTTCAATCGGCCGAAGTCTCCCATATGTTCATCTATTATGTAGAATATAATGAGCTGATTGAAGAAGAGAAATAAAGTTTTTAACCCCAAATTTATCAAACTGATTTTTTTTGCATTTGAATGGGTGTTTTTTTTTTTTTGTTTTTTTTTTTTGCATTTTTCTATAATATTCAGTAAATATTATACAATTATGCACATGTTTTTTGGTGGTGAATAACTGCATGAATATAGGGTAAACTGGGGTAATTTCGACCACTTCTGCTGACATATGGCTTTTAATCTGCAAAACTTGGCCGTTTTCAAATGTACAAGTTCAAAATAAATTCGGAGTAAATAAGATGATTTTTTTCTTCAAATTTTATGGTTTACGAGCTAAAAATGCGTCAAAAAATACTAAATTGGTTCAAAAACTAGTAAGCGTGATGCCTGGGTTAATTTGGACCAGCCTCGGGGTAATTTCGACCACAACAAACATCAACAGGAAAGGTAACTCTTACAATGAAATTAAACTCGACCCGTCGCATTTTATTCAAAATTTATGTTCTAAGAAAAAAAAGTTCTTTATAGGATATATAAGTGTCTGTCAAAAAAAAAAGATTAAAAATGAATTAATTTCTTGTAGATACATACATGTGTGTTTGTTGATTCAGTAAAGAAATGAGTTGGGTTACCATAAATTTTTCAATGCAGTCTTTGACATCTTAATTCTTATTCTTTATTCTGCATCTTAATTCGCCAAATGTTATTTCCAAACGATGCTATATTGTAATGTGATAGTTATGCAAACAGATAAAATTTCTCACATTCCATAGAAAATTTCCTTGTTTAGATTTTTTAAACTGTCCAATCCGAACTGTACTTCATTTCAAATAGTCTTTAGCGAGGCTAAACAGATTCAAAGTGTATTCTAGGTTTGAACGTTGAACACAGCATTAGAATCGATTTTATTCAGTGTTAATTTTTAGCATATACGAATTTACGTGAAATGCATTGTATTACGAATTGCTTTAAAAATATATATAAAAAAAAATTACTGATTTAATTGTTAAAAATCCTGAGAATTTCTATCAAATCATATGAAAGAAGTAAATTCCTCAACCTCCCCCCCTCCTTCCCGCTTCCCCAGCGATGAAAAAAAATAACAAACTGAAACAAATTATTTATTTCTTAAAACCATTTTTTTCTTTCAATATTGTTGCAGTTCTTTTTTGTGTGTTTATATTCAAACAGCTTGCTCGCTACATGTACTTGGATTTGTGTACATGGACTGCATGATACATGTACGTTCCTAAAACTGCTGGTTTTTGGTTTCCGATATCCTCATAATCTTGTCTGTAAATTCGTAATAATAATAAAAAAAATTACAGAAACTTAATTCTGTAATTATATATATTTGATTTTCTCTGCATATTTTCATTTATTAATTTGGGTTTTTAAAAACGTTTTGAATGCTGTAAAGTTTTCTCGCACATCGATCAAAGAATGCACCCTCACCTCAGGACTTAGACAATATTTAAGGATGCATTGTAGATCGCAATGCATGCATATATTTATTAATCCTACATTATTTTCTTTCAAAATTTAAAGAATTTTGTGTAGATGTTGTTCATATACAGTATAATATTTAATTTTATTTTAAAGATCTAACTCAGCATTGCAGTATACAGCTGTTAAACATAACACACACATTATTTCCCCTTGTTATACGTCACTGGTCGAAATTACCCCGCGTCCTTAAAAACAGTTGGGGTAATTTCAACCAAATTCAAACGGACGTTTCTTGTGTTTTTTTGCAAAAAACCCAAGATAAAAATGTGAAATTCAGCTACTTATTACACTCCAAAAAAATCATAAAATAATTTCAATTTTAATTCGAACTGTTACAATGTTGAACATGGTCTAACTCAAGAAGAGGTTGTACGAGTTATCTCTCTTGTTTTTCGTAGATCACATCAAGCGCACTGAAGACGGACTTCGGGCGTCAAACTGGAGGGATAAAAAATAGTTAAACATGTAGTAATACCTCTTTTCAAACCATTTTTGCGATGAGTAATTATACTAGGAAACCCAATTTTAGGAACTGTTTTCTTTATTACCGATTGCATGAAACTTTTTTTCAATTATGCAGTCAGTCATTGTCACATTGTGCAGTGTTGTGTTTGTGTGGTCGAAATTAAACGGTGGTCGAAATTACCCCAACTTACCCTATATGATTTGTTATTCACTAGAAAAATATCAATAGTATTAGATTTCAGTTAACTTCTTCTTTTCACTCTTCATTCTGATCAGCATTACACAATGTCCTGGCTTATTGGATAACCTTTTCAAAACCGATTGGTTGGTGGGCAGATGAATGAAGCATATAACACGAAATACATATACATGTAGTAATAAATAGATTTCAAGTTAGTCCTATTAATTCAAAAAGAAAATTTATATCTACAGTCCCTGAACTATATAGTTACTATTATTTATAATATAAGTTACTGCTTAAATGACAGTACAACATGAACGATTTTTGCTATAGTCTAATCAAACCTTCACTAGCTCCTTTTTAGCTCACCTGAGCTGAAGGCTCAAGTGAGCTTTTCTAATCAAAATTTGTCCGTTGTCTGTCGTTGTCATAAACATGATAAACTTTTAATTCACATTTTCATCTTCTTTTCAAGAACCACTGGGCCAATTTTAACCAAACTTGCTACAAAGTATCCCTGGGTAAAAGGGATTCAAGTTTATGAAGGGCCACACCATCTTCCAAGGGGAGATAATTATGAATTAGTGAAAATTTAATGGAATTTTTAAAAAGTCTTCTTCTCAAGAACCACTAGGCCAGGAAAGATGAAACTCATTAGGAATCATCTTCAGGTAGTGTAGATTCAAGTTTGTTCAAATCATGACCCCCGGGGGTAGGGTGGGGCCACAATGGCCGATCAAAGTTTTACATAGGTGTATGTAGGAAAAATCTTTAAAAATCTTCTTCTCAAGAACTAATGGGCCAGGAAAGATGAAACTCATGTGTAATCATCTTCAGGTAGTGTAGATTCAAGTTTGTTCAAATCATAACCCAAGGGGGTAGGGTGTGGCCATAATGGCCAATCAAAATTTTACATAGGAGTATATAGGAAAAATCTTTAAAAATCTTCTTCTCAAGAACCACTGGGCCAGGAAAGATGAAACTCATGTGGAATCAACCTCCTTAATGTAGATTTTAGTTTGTTCAAATCATGACCCCCGGGGGTAGGGTGGGGCCACAATGGCCGATCAAAGTTTTACATAGGAGTACCGGGTATATAGGAAAAATCTTTAAACATCTTCTTCTCAAGAACCACTAGGCCAGGAAAGATGAAACTCATGTGGAATCATCTTCAGGTAATGTAGATTCAATTTTGTTCAAATCATGACCCTCAGGGGTAGGATGGGCCACAATGGGCGATCAAAGTTTTACATAAGAGTATATAGGGCCATCCTTAAAAAATTGCTTGTTTGGAATTGCCGCCTGAAGGGTTTCAGACACAGGAGGGTGGGAGGGAAATTATTTTTTTTTTCAAATTGAAGATTAATTTTAAATTTCTGTTAAAAATCTCAGAAAACAGTATAAATACATCTTCTGACTTTAAAAAAAGTATCTATCATCAACACAGAAATCCAATTTGCATAGATCTGACACTATATTTCAGTGTTTTTATGGTGCATGTGATACATGTAATGGGCAAAAAAATTGATTAAATAAAAAAAAATTCTTCTTACTTTTGGCCAATAAAATTTTTTCAGGAGGGGGGCATTTCAATGAGGTGGGAGGCAATTCCAAACAAACTATAATTCTATTTTGGCCTAGGAAAAATCTTCTCAAGAACCACTGGGCAAGAAAAGATGAAACTCATGTGGAATCATCCTCAGGTAGTGTAGATTCACTTTTGTTCAAATCATGACCCCTGGGGGTAGGGTGGGGCCACAATGGCCGATCAAAGTTTTACATAGGAATATATAGGAAAAATCTTTAAAAATCTTCTTCTCAAGAACCACTGGACCAGGAAAGATGAAACTCAATGTGGAATCATCCTCAGGTAGTGTAGATTCAAGTTTGTTCAAATCATGACCCCCGGGGGTAGGGTGGGGCCACAATGGCCAATGAAAGTTTTACATTGGAATATATAGGAAAATCTTTTTAAATCTTCTTCTCAAGTACTTCAAAGCCATGATTAGTGATATTTATATGGAATCAACCTCCTTAATGTAGATTTTAGTTTGTTCAAATCATGACCCCCGGGGGTAGGGTGGGGCCACAATGACCGATCAAAGTTTTACATAGTATGTAGGAAAAATCTTTAAAAATCTTCTTCTCAGGAACCACTAGGCCAGGAAAGATGAAACTCATGTGGAATCATCTTCAGGTAGTGTAGATTCAAGTTTGTTCAAATCATGACCCCTGGGGCTAGGGTGGGGCCACAATGGCCAATCAAAGTTTTACATAGGAATATAAAGGGAAAATCTTTAAAAATCTTCTTCTCAAGAACCACTGTGCCAGGAAGGATGAAACTCATGTGGAATCATCTTCAGGTAATGTAGATTCAAGTTTGTTCAAATCATGACCCTTAGGGGTAGGATGGGGCCACAATGACCGATCAAAGTTTTACATAGGAGTATGTAGGAAAAATCTTTAAAAATCTTCTTCTCAAGAACCACTGGGCCAGGGAAGGTGAAACTCATGTGGAATCATCCTCAGGTGGTGTAGATTCAAATTTGTTCAAATCATGACCCCCTGGGGTAGGGCAGGGCCACAATGGCCGATGAAAGTTTCACATTGGAATATATAGGGAAATCTTTTTAAATCTTCTTCTCAAGTACTTCAAAGCCATGATCAGTGATATTTATATGGAATCAACCTCCTTAATGTAGATATTAGTTTGTTCAAATCATAACCAACGGACTCCCCCCCCCCCCCCCCCCCGGGAAAGGGTGGGGCCACAAAGGTCAAACAAAGTTTTACATAGAAAAATAAAGGAAAAATCGCAAGAACAGAAAAGCTATGTTTAGACATATTGACATGTAAGCATCCTGATGTATTGAAGATCTAAATTTGATCAAATCATGGCCTTTTGGGGTACGGAGGGTTATTCCTTACAAATAGTTGAAATATATAGTTGAGAAATATAGAGAGTTAAGAGAGATCTAGAGTGACAGAGCTAGGAAGCTCATGTGTTAAGAACCATGTACGGAATTAGACTTAGAAACCTTTAAGATTTTATTTCCAATTAGGCCAACTTTTTCTAAATTTTAGTTAGGACATGGACTTGCATCTTATGTTTTGATTACACTGTATGTTGGAATTCATTATCACTTTAATAAACTGTCATTGTTACCCTACAAATTTGGACTTAATTCCTCAAATTGAACTAAATTCCCAAAATGAACGTGCACCACTGCCACCACCGAATTAAGTCTTATAGACAGACTAGCATGCGGTCACAGATGTGATGAAATCAGAGTACCTTTCTTCATGTTCCTGATATGAATTGAGACTGATTATTGATATAATTGTATTATTTTCTTTTGACAGGAACTTCTATAAGTTATCCTCCCTCCTCATGGCTTCTGTTGACATCAGAGAACCCAAAAAGGAGTGCCTGTGGCAATATAAGAGCCAGACTGACGATCATCCATTGGTAAATAAATTAGCGTAAACACATGATAATTATAATTTTATTTTAGTGTTTAGTCAAATTCAAGACTCAATCTAATATGTATACATATTATATGTAATAAATTTAACATTTTAATTAGCATTTATATGTATTAGATTTCATTTATAATCACAGAATAAATTCTGTTGCAGTTAAACGAGTTAGTGTGATGTAGGACTTATAGATTTTTTTCAGAATTGACTTAATGGGCTCTTGTGATTTCAGATAAAAGAACTATTTGACAGACATCATGAATACCCGGACACACCAGCCAGGTTTACAGTGGGTTTGGTTTCATCTGAAGGTAGCAAGTCTTCATCAGATTTCACAACAGAACCATTGGAGATAGAGATTGGAATACAAGACTTGGTCATCTCCGGGAAGTCCTTCAGGATAGATTGTGTTAGATACGTTATTCCACATGTCATAGAAAACACCTTGTCATTGTTGATTTCAGTGCGTAGTACCAGTGAAAATTCTTACTCCATTTCCTATACTGTAAAACCAGCAGATGGGTATGAGGCAGTGTGTATTCTGAATCTGATCAGGAAATCAATGTTTAGTAAAATAATAAAGGAAGTTGGGTGTGATCCTGAACTAGCAGTAAAAGCTATGAACTTTAATCAGCTACTTTTTGATGAGAATCTTGAGTGTTCTGTGACAACACAGCCTGATGTTAAGGAGTTCCATGTAAGGGTAGACAAGGAATTGTTGTGCTTCTATCTCAATCAGTTTGAACCTGTACCTTGTGTAGAACTTTTCTTCTGGAAGGAAAGGGGAAATAATGTCATTGAGCGTGTAATGATGATCAATGAAACTGGTGAGGTCAGATTCGAAAGTGAGGCTGCCACAGTCTTAATTAAAGTAAGTTATGAATGAACAAAATGATGAATTTGAATTGAAAGTTTACAACTTTTTCATACATGAAGTTGGTTAAGCTGCAGTGTATTGATATTTAAGTCATCTGGGCCACTCAAGTGACCTTATATTTCCCAATACCTTTCACTGTTTTGGATTTTAGCTCACCTGAGCTGAACTCTCAAGTGAGCTTTTCTTATCAAAATTTGTCCGTCCTTGCTGTTATTGTTGTCATCATAAACTTTCACATTTTCATCTTCTTCTCCTTCTTATTAAAAACCACTGGGCTGATTTCAACTGAACTTGCCACAAAGTATCCTTGGATAAAGGGAATTCAAGTGTGTTAAAATGAAGGGCCATGCCCTCTTCAAAGGGGAGATAATAATGAATTAGTGAAAAATTAATGACATCATTTCAAAACTTCTTCTCAAAAACAAGATAAAACTCATGTGAAATCATCCTAAGGTAGTGTAGATTCAAGTTTGTTCAAATCATGACCCCTGGGGGTAGGATGGGGCCACAATGGATGATCAAAGTTTTACATCTGAAAAGAATATGGTTATATTATTATAGAAGCATCCTTCATGTCCTTAGGTAGTGTTGATTTAACTTTGTTAAAATCATGACCCCGGGGGTCTTGGTTCCATATTAATGGGCAATCAAAGTTTTACATAGAAATATGTAGGAAAAATCTTCTCAAGACCAGCAAAGTCTTGATAGGTGGTATTTATATGAAAGCATCCCCAGGTAGTGTAGATTCAGATTGTTCAAATCAGAACCCCTGGGGGTAGGATGGAGTTACAATGTGGGATCATATTTTACATACAGGAAAATACTGTATAAGAGGGATTATTTTTAGTGAGATGCAAATTTAGCAATTTATCCTCAAAAATTGGAATGTATTTTTAGCAAGAATAATTTTAGCAATTTTGTAATGCCAATGAGAGATACTATTACAACAGATTCGCAATTGATTTTTAGCGATATTAAATTTTAGCAATCTCAACACCCTCGCTAATAATGCCAAAATTGAATCCTCGCTGAAAATTCTGCTTATACGGTATACCAAAATATCTTTGAAAAATTCTGGAGAACAGCATATCCACAATGGGAGATCAATTTGTTACAAAGTAATAGGTAGGAAATATTTTTTATATATATGCTATATTGATTTGGTGGCATATTCTCAAGTAGATCAAAATTCAAGTCCCCCCTTCCTTAAAGAACCATATATGGTATGTGCAGTGTAACAGTGATTGGGAAGGACATGCACCATAGTCACATTCAAGTGAAAAATGGCGCATTAAATCAATCGATATTGGCGCCAAGGTGCGCATTCACTTCTTAGCGATCTTATTTAGAAACAATTTGCATACGACTTTCTTACTTGTTTTACTTTTGTTTTAAATGCAGTCAGCTTTAAAACAACAAATCTTATTGGTGGAAGCCCATCAAATGCTGCTTCCAGTTTAACGAAACTCCTAGATTAGGTACATTACTGCATTTATTTGTAGGGAAGGGTGGTGCTCACTCCAAAGTTTGATGTAATTTAACACAAAATACATTTGAATTATATTCAGTGCAGGTTCCATTAAATTTTCTGCAATGTATATGTTAAAAATTATAAAGGTATTGACAAATTTTGATTTTGTGACAGCACAAACTATTCAGATTTGTCTGAAAGAGGGAAGAAAAATGACAAAATTTGCTCAATTTAGCTTTAAAAATTACATAGTGCAGGCCTGCTTCAGAATTATATTTACAAATTTCATTGACATTATTATTTTACACATTATATCAAAATAATGATCTGGAACAGACCTGCGCTGGGTGATTTTTACTCAAAATATTGACAGATGTAATAACAATTAAGGTAGCATACACCTTTTTCTGTAGATTTGTGGAAAATTCAAAGAGCTAGGTTCACTTTATGCATAAAATGGCCCTGTACTTATATCAATTAATTAACTATCACCCTCTTTCCCATTTCATATATCAAAATAAAGTAGACACTTGGTGCTTTCATTTCCTATAATAAAATTTCTTTTTGAGAATCCAGATATTGGAAAACAGGCTTTGAGAAATTGCAGTGTTCTTGAAATTTGCAGAAAACATGCGTATTTGACTACCTTCAGCAAAGAATTAAAATATGTGCACAGCCCACGATCCAAAAAATATTCAAATATGTTTTTTGATCTTCAGCAAAAGATCTTTCATTATTTTTTTGCATATTTTGTTGTGCTCTTTATTAAATACTGAAAAAATACTTCAACTTTAGGCCATTTTCAAACAAATTTACAGGATAAGAGGAAAATGACGCATTTTATGACGTCCTAATGCATTGACGAGAGGGAAAATTACATGATTAATAGATGCATGGTCACCAACACTCCAAGTGATAAATATTGCATTTGCAACCTAAACTGAGCAGTTTTTATTTTTCAGAAATTCTCAGGGCCAAATAAGGCCAAAAGTGGCTCTTGCTCTTTACGTCATTTTCCTGAAGTCATATCAAATATATGGCATCATGGCTTATAAAAATATTCAGTGCTTTGAAGTCTGCAGATATACCGGGATAACTCTGTTTTAGAACATTATCATTATCATTAGATTATTATATAATTCTTTGTCAACATGGTCAAAGTTTGATTTTTTTTTGGCAAATATTGGTCAATACTGCACAACTATGGTCCTTTTTAATACTGATCTGATTTTTGGTAATTACTTTATCTAGCCCATGTGCTCAGGTGAGCAACATGGTCAATGGGCCTCTTTTTCTATTATTTATCATGTCTATAGCATTTTGAACTGTTTTAATACATTGCAAATTTTTCCTCATATAATATAAACATGATAAAATATAATTTTCTTATTGCTTAAGGAAGGTCTGTCTATCACTGTATAAACACACTGTCGGGGCTTTTATGGAATTTGATCATGTAACCATCCATATTTTATATCTATAACTGTCAAAAAATTAATCTTATATTATTACAGTTCTCAGTTTAGCTTGGACTTTCAGTAAGGCGTGGCATTCTCGGAGCAACGTAATTAGCGCCTGTCAAATGGCAAATAGATTCTCATTGGTTAAGAAATTAATAACATCAGGAACTTTAAATTGTTGTTGACAACAATGAGACAACTTAATTATTAATTAAGCCCCACCTCTGTGCCATGCGAGAACTTTTAATTGGATTTTTGCGACACCAGATGACATTCGGCCAAATTTCTATCCTATGTATAGGTCAACAGTGAAGGAAAGCTGTGTAAATTTCAGAAGCTAATTGTAGGTCACAAGAAGAAACGAGACCTTTCAGTTAAAACTGAAAGGCGGCTTTCAGTGACTTTTCAGTTGCCATTCAGCCACTGAATGGCAGGTACATTTCAGTGATCTTTCAGTTGCCTTTCAGTCATATTTCAGGTACCTTTCAGTCACCATTCAGTGGACACATTTCAGTTATCTTTCAGTGACCTTTCCGTCAACTTTCAGTGACCTTTCAGTCGACTTTCAGTGACCTTTCCGTCGTCTTTCAGTAACCTTTCTGTTATCTTTTAGCACACATTTTAGTATCAATTCAGCGATTTTTTTCACCGGCTTATCAATTTATAATCAGTAGTTTTTCCTTAAAAATATTTTGCATAAATTTATCATCCAATCTTAACTGTGTTTTTGTTTTCTTATCGTAATAAAGGTACTTAAAATTGGTAATCATAGTTAGATGTTCAATTGTATTTCAATTAAGTATTTACCAAATGTTAAAAGACATACATGTATATAGCATATTTTTGATACGTTCGGACTAATTGAAATAAGAAGGATCTTTCTATTTCTTTTGATACTTTTTAAATAACGAAAAGACTTTCCTGTATATTATACAATTAAAATCAAAGATTTAAAATAATAATCGATTTATTTTGACTCTGAATTAAATATCACACACAGTTTAAAGTCAATTTAACCATAGAAACGAGGGGATATTTCAGGTCAAATTCGGCGAAAAATTTAATTTGAACGTATAAATATAGCAAATATCATGTAAATCTGCACTTGATCTTGTATTTTTTTTTAGGTCAGATATGTCATATACTCCCTGGTATAACTTTAAATTGCGATTATAGACTTTAAAAATATGTCTTAATAATTGTTTATTTAAATGCTACAAAATAAATGATAACAGTTCAACTGAACTCGTTAAATTCAAATAGCGTGGACTCATAAAATTCAAAATGATATTTAATTTTCTAGTAGATTTAAAAAACAAAAAACTCTTCAAATGATAAAAAGTAATGATCCGATTCTCGAATCAAAATTCAGTTAGATGTCGTATAAGTTTGTTTTCTTTTTCCTATCTGTCAATCTCTAATTCGGTAATAAATATTAATTTAATAAGCTATTAAATTAATTAGAAATCAATCTGAAAAAAAAAAAAAATTGGAGGCTATCGATCATAATGCGATCTTATTATTAACAAAGAAAATGTTATCTTATTTTTTACAGCTCTAATATAGATTTCATTATTCCTATGTCAATCTAATACATTCTACAGTTATTATATTTTTCATGGAAATATCTAATACTGAACGATAAGACAGAATTAATATTATTTATACCTTTTTCTGGAAGAACCTTGATATTATAAATTCCGTTTCTTACTTGTCAAACCCGCAGGATATTTCAGCTTTTGAAAGACATTATTATAAAATCATTTTACAGGAATAGAATAAATCATTTATTTATGCCTCTTGTGGAAGAAACTTAATATTGTTGATTAAAGCTTTTAAAAAGATACAGTTTAAAATAATTTGCTAATTTTCTAGATAGAGAATTCAAAACGATCTCCGAGGAGAAGATTTCTTTGACAAGAACAGGTGCCCGTCGCCGATAATTGTGATCATCCCGCTAAGAGTTGTGTAATTAATTAGTCTGTCCCCAAAATCCGCACAATTAACATAGAATATACAAAATATATACAAGATATATACACATCGCAACTCCTCGATACAACAGGTGAACCGTGTTCCATTTCGATTTCTACAAATTGATTGATTTTAATTCCTTAGTATTCATCAAGAAGTCGTAGCGTAATGGATAAGGTCACGGACTTCCACGCTGGAGACCAGGGTTTGATTCTGGCTATGGGCAAGAAATTTTTTTTCTTGCATTAATTTTTTTTTTTCATTTTTTATTCGCAAATATGTAGACTAAATGCTATTAAATCAAGAAAAAGTGAAATAAAATTTTTAAATTAAAGAGAAAGTCGATTATTTAATAAAAACATGCAACTGAATGATCACGGAAAAGTCACGGGAAAGGATCTTTTCAGTGACCTTTCAGTGACCATTCAGTGGGAATTCAGTTATCATTCCGTCGACTGAATGGTGTAATTTCATCTTGTGGGTAACGTCGAGAATGCCATATGCCTTACTGAAAGTCTAAACTTAACTGGAAATTGTCCTATTATTAACATCATATATAGCTAAACTTAATTCTTCAGATTTTGGAACTAGCTAATGATTAATCAAGTTAATTGTAACAAAATTTGTAAATCTGAAGCAAGTAAAATGCCAGATATCTTTTACTACCACATCACCTTGCAGGTTATATTTGTCCATTAATAGTTTATCTGTTTTTAGGACCAAAGAAATATGGACAAATTCAAAAGTGTTATAAGCAGCAACTCCTCCAAGTCTAGAGAAATCTTCCAAGGTATGTATTGTGTATTATTAATTGTATAATATTAATGGATAAGGTTTATACTAATCAAGTTTGCAACTTTTTATGACATTTAAATAATGCATATTTGAAAGTTTATATTGCATGGTATAAATCACAAAAGTCGTCATTTTAAATTTACTAGAGCTGAAGCAGTTGTTCAAACATTCGCGAATGAATAGTTTTTCACAAATATTCGAATAGAAAATTTTTATTTGAATATTCGGCCTCATGTTTAATGCCCGTTTGTCATGCAGTAAAATATACAGCATCCAAGTTTTGATCACAGTGGAAAAGGAGCATCTTTCTAAACGAAAGCATGCAAAGACAAAACAGTTTGTAAACTTTGTCAACATGACCTAATATATATAAATTGGCATGATAACAAATTCCATTGAAGCCAAACATTTTTGAACCTCGTGGTTTGTAAATTTCATAATTTCTTTGATCTATGATTGCCATGATTTAATATGGAAAGTAGTAAAAGGTTTATATCGTACTTTTATATTTTATATAAGGGCCATTTTCAAAAAAAGTCTATTTTTTAAATGACATATTTTTGAAAAATGAAAGTGGTTTTACTATGATTTTTTCAACTTTATTTGAATAATATAGTAATAAACTACTAAAATCCACTGCATTGCATAAAAGAAAATATTTCTTTTAAAAAATATTGACATTTTATCTTAGTCATTTAAATTTTAATGTCCTTCCTGTTACTTTCATAAAAAGAGCTGTAAAACTCTATTTCAAAATTTTTATCTAATAATCTTTTGTATATCGTCAAAAAATGAAAAAAATATCATTGAATGCCAAGATGTTTGACATTCATCTAATATATGAGCGTTTAAAAGCATGTCAATCTACCATATACCAAACAGAAGCAAAATCCATGGGTTTTTCTTCATGAAAAGCCTTATTGCTGAATATTTATATGCTATAGTTGAAAAAAACATTCTTGTACATTATTTTTGTGATTAGAATAAACAGTTACAGAAAGTTATTTAAACAGGTGCTCTTCCAAAGCAATTTAAACTAGGAAAATATACTGGTAACAGTAAGGACTCAGGTAACAGGAAGGACAAAACAGTAACAGGATGGACAAAACAGTGTAACAGGATGGACAATGAAATCTACATTTGAAATAAAAATTGACTTTTTAAAAACTTTATTGGTTAGGAAAAGAGAAATAAATGTAGAATAAAAACATTATTTTGTCAAATCTGGCAAATTCGAGACAATAAAAGATATTTATGTCCATCCTGTTACGAAATTTAATTGTAAAGTGCTAATAAAATATTTATCACTTCAATTTTTGTTTATTAAAGGTACTCTATGCTGTTGCAAAACTAAGAATTTTTCATAATTTTAAGAAAAAGAAATGATAAAACTTAAATCGGTATATAAATACCAGGATAATTTGTCCCTCCTGTTACAATATCTGTCCATTCTGTTACAAGAGTGCATGTTAAAGTAGAAATGGCACTATTTGAAGCACTAACATATTTCAATATGATTTACGAAGTTTTTTAACATGTGTTATTAAACTTATATTACTTAGAAAAATAAAAGTAATTGTTTTTATTGTTAAAACTCAAGATATGAAGTCCAGTTTTCCTTACTGTTACCATATTAATGGTAACAGAAATGACAGTAACAGGATGGACATTATTCACATAAATCACCCGTTATTTAGTATAACGTACTCTTTTTGCATCATCGAGACATTGAAACAATTTCTTTGTAGCTTAGTTAATCTAATTGTTTTAGCAGAATAAACAATTTAAAGAGTACTTGCATATTAAGAAGGTAACAGATAGGACGTATTTTAATTATACTCTACCAATAAGACAAACGTATCGACCTTTGAACCCTTTCTTTACTCACTTTAAAATCATGGCGCGCATAAACTTGAGACAACAGAAAATGATGATATATTGTGGATCATGAAAACAGTTCCTAGGAAAGTGAGATAACTTTTATTTTAACATTTTCTTTTTGGTAACAGGAATGACATAAACTGGAGGGACATGTCACTTCCTGAATGTTAAATGCACAATACTAGTATTTAGTGGGCATCATAAGTAAAACAATCATATTAAATTAATCTGTAAATAAATTCAATTAATATGAGGTGCAAAATTTGTACATATCTTCACATGGTAATATTTTCCCTATCATTTAAATAAGCACGTTATAAAATTTTTGTTAATGTGACATGGTTTTACTGTTAAATTTTACTCGGAATGCATAGAATATTTTTTATAAAACACCTGGGAGATGATCATAAAATAAATTTTAAGCTGTATGACCATGTATATTAACCAACGGGAAAAAAACTTTCACTCTAAAAATTTTTTTTCCTATTTTTCTGATCAAAAGACAAAAAAGTAGACTTTTTTTGAAAATGACCCTTAAACCAACTCTCATCATGTTACAACAAGCTTTATACAGTGTTTGAACCAGCTCCCATCATGGCATAACAAGCTTAATACAAACCAGGAGCCCTTTTCACAAAAAATCTTACGACATATTTTTTATCTTAAGTAAAAACTTACGATAAAAGTCATTTTCACAAAAATTCTTAAGAAAGTCCTAAGTTCAAAATCTATCGTAACTTTACGAGAGCCCGTACCCTCTCTTAAGTTTTTTCAAACCGATTTTAATGTTAAAATATAACCACAAAAATCAAAATACACATTAAATAGAACTTGTAAAAGTGACTTCCAATATTAATTTATATTTTTCTCACGGTTAATTTGGAGAAATGATAGGAAATACACTACAAAATATTTACGATTTATGTTTCACTTAAGATTTTCGTACAACCTACTCTTACGTCAGACTTGTGATTGTGACGTCACATTTCAAACTTCTTGCTTGCACTTGTTATTTGTTGTCAGTAACGTTTGTTTTTGCTGATAAATGATGAAAACTGAGCTATATTTTTATTATCATCTACTAATTTAAGGATTATAAAGCATATTCAGACTGTTGCTAAGGACGAAGTCTATCGTAAGTAAAATCTTAAGTTTAATCTGCTACGAATGCGTTCGTGAAAAGCGCTTAAGATTTGTGTTAAGAAATTCGTAAGTTAAAATCGTAAGCAAAAACTTAAGATTTTTTGTGAAAAGAGTAACAGCTTTCATGTTACAACAAGCTTTATATAAACCAGCACTAATCATGTTACAACAAGCTTTATACAAACCAGCTTTCATGTTACAACAAGCTTTATATAAACCAACTCTCATCATGTTATAACAAGCTTTATATAAACCAACTCTCGTTAAGTTACAACAAGCTTTGTATATATATATATATATATATATATATATATATATATATATATATATATATATATATATATATATATATATATATATATATATATATATAATATAAACCAACCCTCATCATGTTATGACAAGCTTTATTTAAACCAGCTGTCATCATGTTACAACAAGCTTTATATGAACCAGCTCTCATCATGGCATGACAAGCATGATATAAAACGCCTTTTATCATGGACTGACTAGCAGTATATAATTTACATGTAGGTTTGATTTTATCACAACATTGAATGTGTATAACCAACTCTGATCTTATCTGGTCATGCTATACATAAGTGTATAACTCAGCTCTCATCATATCACAGTTTTACTGTATACTGGGAAATTTTCGCCCCCATTTTTTTTCCCCTTTCGCCCTACCTTCATTTGGGTGAATATAGATTCAAAGAATTAACAGTATAATTTCTCATACAAAACTATGACTGGGCGAATTGAAAAAGGGGCAGAATTGTTTGCAAGTGTTAAAGGGTGAAAATAACATTGGGCGAAAATAACCGTGTATACAGTATATGAACTAGATCATAATTATTATGTCATTGCATTATATACTAGGTCTTATCAAGCCTCAGCAACCATTTTACTTTATCATTTTCTCTGAATTCCTAGATTACTCTTCTCTGGCAAAACACCTTGGTTTCCAGCCACAAGTACAGGGACCAGGACCCTCACAATATCAAGGTACAGTATTGCTTGTATAAAACATATCAGAATTTCAGAGTCTCTGTAATGTATTCTGGCAGCTAGCATTTTAATTTATTCATTTAAAATTTGTTTCTTATGAAGGAGAAGACCAAAGTGGCTGGTATGAACAAAGGAAGTACCCAGGCAATTCATTCGAAGAAATGATAGGTAAAGACATTCAATCATACAGGTTAATTGCATATCAACAAAGCTTACCTGAGCTGAGAACTCAAGTCAGCTTTCCTGATCAGATTTTAACTTTTCAAAGTTTTATACAGAAATATTTAGGTAAAATCATCTCTCAATAGTTTTATTGATATGAATGCATCCACACATAGTGTAGATTCAAGTTTGTTCAAATCATGGCCCCTTGGGGTAGAATTGGGCAACAACAGGGGATCAAAGTTTTACATAGGATTATATAAGAAATCCTTGTACTGTAGATCTATTAATTGCTATCTTTTTTCGTCCGTCGTCGTGCGTTAACATTTGAACATTTTCATCTTCTTCTCTGCAACCACTGAACCAACTTCAACCAAATTTGGCATAAAGCATCCATGGGTGAAGGGGAACAAAAATTGTGAATTTTATGATCCCTGCCTCCCTGGGGCCTAAGGGTTGGGGCCAAAACCACTAAAATTAATGCAATCTATAAAAATCTTCTTCTTTACTCCTGGACATCAAGCAGTCAAACTGTTTGCATGATTGTAATCAGCATTGAGTCCTCTACCAAAATTGTGAAATTCATGGCCCTGGGGTCAGGGGTTCTAGTGCTACGGCGGGGCTAAAATGAGTATATAGTGAAAATGCATTATTTCTTTGAAAATCTTCTTCTCTGCTCCTGGGTATTAAATTAGACTAAGTACATAGTAATGATAAGCAAGAATACCTCTACCAAAATTGTGAATTTTATGACCCCAGGGTCAGGGGTTCTGGTGTTAGGGGTCTATTGATTATTTATTATACCTCTATTGATAATACTCGAATTTGATTGGCTGGAAAGAAAACTTTAAAACACAACAATGACTCTAAATGGTACTGTTTACAGCAATAATGACCTAGGAATCATTGCACGTGGGATATAATGACCCAGTCATTATAATTAATGACCGCTAAAAAAATGACCTCTTAATCAAAAATTCCTTTTTGGGTGAAGTTAATGTATAAAATAATAATTAGTTGAGAAAAACAATGTTTTTAAAAATAGTACATGGTCTGTTTTACATAACCATACAGAATACGGGAAAATTTTATCATTAACTTAAACGGTTTTACTCATTTCAAAATATCTTTCAATGGAATGTAGAAGCGATTCTTTAAAGAGTTGAATTCTGTGTTGAATTTTGACTGTAGAGTAAAAGTAATCGGTAGTTATAACAATGTATGTCGCTATCAGCCAAATTGTTTTAATCAGTAAAACATGATGCAAAAACTTACACGACTTGCAGACGTCAATGTAAACAACTTCGAAGTGTAGCGAATCCCGATCCCGATCAAAGAAAGAATTTTCGTTATATATCGGTATAATAAAACAATTGATTACCCCTTGTGAGTTCAACATGGTGAAATAAGGACCCTCGACCTGGCCCACTCGATGACCTGCCCTGACCTCGGCTGCTACACGGCCTCGGTCAGGTCAGGTCACCTCGTGGGCCAGGTCTCGGGTTCTTATTTCACCATGTTGACCTCAAAAGGGGTAATTAATTGTATAATAGTTAAAAAAACATGAATTCTGTGAAAATGTTCTTCTCTGCTGGTATTAAATAAACTAACTAAGTACATAGTTATGATGAGCAAAAGTGCCTCTTACAAAGTTGTGAATTTTATGGCCCCAGGGTCAGGGGTTCTGGTGTTAGGCTCTATTGATTATATAGTTAAAAAACATGACTTCTTTGAAAATCTTCTTCTCTGCTCCTGGGTATTAAGCAGATGAACTACCTATATAGTTATGATGAGCAAGGGCCCTAATCTTCCAGAATTGTGAATTTCAAGGCCCCAGGGTCAGGGATACCATAGAGGGGGGGGGTCTGTACTTATATACTGAAAATGAATGAATTGTTTGAAATCTGCTCCTTGGTATAAATCAAATATTTTTGAAAAGCAAGGGTGCCTTTTCAAAAATTGTGCAATGTGTGGACCTAGGGTCAGGGGTTCATGTGTGGTAGATGCACTACTGATTATTATTGAATATTACTGATTAGTTGAAATGCATTTTTTGTTCCCCTACCCTGTCTATGGGTATTAAGTAACCAAACGAAGCAGTTGCTAAGTGTATAGTTATGATGATCAATGCGCAGCACTGTTAAGGCTTACTATGAGAAATCAACGGAAAATAGAAGTGCAAAAACGGGTATTGTTTTTAAAACTGAATTTATTTTTATTCAGCTGTTCTATTATCACAGAACTTAAATACTTATGGAAATAGCATAGTATAACCTACTCTGTACTGTGTGGACTTTGGTCCCATCGATGGACAGTCACGTGATGAATGCATAGTAGGTACACGGAATGTCGGTCAATAACAAATTTCAATATCGCAAGGGCATACCCTAGTTGAAATTAAAAATTCATACTATTAATTGTTTCTGCATACTTTGTACTTTCTGGAAAGTGCTGCTGCTTTGAAAAGAATTCGCATTTTAATAGTTATAATTTCAAGTAAATAGGCTTATGTCGAAATATGTTTGACTTTTACCAAATATTTTGTGTACTTATGAAGTCATGCTCTCGATTTAAAGAAAGCAGCAGCACTTTTCAAGTTAAGGAACATATCCTTTATTTATATTTAAAAAATTGTCAAGATTTATTAAGTGTATGCCCTTGCGAAAAAGCGATTTTATGAGGCACCTCGATGTAAAATATACTGTAAACCAACTTTTATTCGCGTGCGAGAAATTTTCGCGAGGTCCGCAACAGCCTCATCATCGCGAAAATTTCTCGCCGTGAACCGGTCCTTAATTCAAGTCTCTGTGTCTACTAACAAGAAATTCAAAAAGGTTTGATCGCGAAAATTAATCGTCGCGAACTAGTTAACCCCTGGTAAATCGCGAAATAAAGTAGCCGCGAATAAAAGTTGGTTTACAGTACCTAACCTGAACATTAAAACGACAGAATTATTTAAATACATTCTCTCGATAGTTGATGAATAATCACACTTAACAAAGGATATACATTGGTATTATTAGCCTATTAAAAACCTGTAAATAATATTCTGTTTTATAATAAAACGCATTTTTCATTGTTAAAAAATTCCCAAATCTGCCTCTCACAGTACATGAAATACGTCATTTTTACCAAAATGAGGTCATGATTGACAAGTTCATCGAGATCAGTGATTTGTTTAAAACCAGCAGTATGGGATTTAACTAGCGACTTTTGTTAATGCATTGGTAAGTTTTATTGTTGTTTATTATGCTAATACAGTTTAACGTTGCAAATTAGGCCAACATTTTTTTATTTATTGTTTTACGGGAATTTTTTTCAAAAAATTGAGTCGGGGGGTCGAAATAAAAATAAAAATAAAATCTTCAAATTCAAGCAGTCGGTCAGAAAAATAAAAATAAAACGAAAAATTGTAACAATCTTTTTTATTTTTTAAATTAAGAATGGAAATGATTTTTCACCTTATTTTGGCAGAAAAGGGTGTTATTTGAAAAAATTAATGCATGCAAAACAATTAAATCAAACTTTTTTTTAGCATTCAATAAACTATAAGATTTGAGGATTTATGAGTAGCTATCATATGGCAAAGAATATAGTAAGGCTTTTAATGGATCAGTTAAATTATTTCACAAGTTAGACTAATTAAAAAAATCTGTGTATCTTTTTCAATGCAATTCAAATTAATATACACATAGGTAGATAAAATATATCTTATATTTCTCTTGAAAACATATTCAAATATCCACAACTTTTGAATAAAAAAAAACAGGTCATATTTGTATGAAAGCATCATCTGCAGCTTTGTTTTTCCCTATCGGTATTTTTTTTTTTTGGTAAAGAAAGTTGTTATTACTCAGTAATTTGTTACATAACAAGCAAAATTTCATTTTGAATCGTAATATGTTTGATTAATATGATATTAAGGAGTGAAAGTTGTGACTCGAATTTCCTCAGTCACGCCACTTTCTGCAGTGTATGTTCAGTCGTTTCATGTAAAATAAAACATGACTGTCATAAAAATAAGTTTCAGAACAATCTTCAAGTCGTATTTCAATGCTTTGAAACAATTGTCAACGATAATACATACTTAAAACCTCTCAAAACAAGTTTGATTACTGTTTCGTCTATTTTATTCAATCTTTCATTAAAAGTTAATCTGAAATTAATACTTTTTTCTAATAAATGACATGTCACTTTTTAAAATGACTGAGTCGATTTAAAAATATATTAAACACTACGTCTCTGACATTTTGCCGCTAACCGTTATTCAGTGCAGTGACTATCCACGCTTCACATTCATGCTCATTAGTTTTGTCAACTGTGATTGGATGGATATATTTACCTTAGCCAATGACAATTGACGTTTTGAAAGGCTTGTAAAAAATTTGTTGACGTTTCTTTTATTTTTTCAGTGACTATAAATAAGCTGTCGGCGGGAGAAACAAAAATAAAGCTTGAAGGAGAGACTTTTATTTTTATTTCATTTTAGCCCAAATTAGGTTCGGCGCTCCCGTAAAACGGTAAATAAAAAAATGTTGGCCTTATTTCATTTTCGGGTAATATGATGAATGCATAAAAGTCATATTTTTGTGTGACGTCACAGTAAACTTTTCCCGTATAAATTAGGCTCGCCCCCTTTTTATAGCCTTAACAGTGCTGCAGGTGCCTCTTTCAAAATTGTGAATGCCATAGCATCTGGCTTAAAACATGAATCAAATTCAATCACTGGAAAGTTGTTGCATGATGCTCCTGTGACCTATAAGGCCCATGGGCCTCTTGTTTTTTCAATCTCAACCCCTGTAAATAAGGCTTGGCCACAGAAGCTGAAAAAATGCAGAAGAACACATGTACATTAATATTTTGGGGGAGGATATTTATTAAATACATATCTAGAATAGCAGGGCTAGAGTACATTGTTAACTCAGGTGAGATTGTGGCCCATGGACCTCATTATCATATCACTGTCATCAGGAGAAGTCTTATTTCAACACATGAAAATGATATATATTTTTAAGTTGTAAATGCAGTGCTGGCATTGGTAATATTCAGTTACTCATAAAACAGTATTTTATTGATCATGATAAAAATCTTTTTAGCTATATAAATCTATAATGTTTTCAGATTCCTTGCTGTCTGCAGAAGACAAGTGTAAGAACACTGATTTATATGAGACAATATCACTGCAGTGGATCGTTACTCATGACGAGATCCTGGAAATCCTCAACTCAGGACTAGTTCCTCCCTGTGACTTCCTCAGCGGGGGTAAGTATCCTCAGGGTTAGTTCCTCCCTGTGACTTCCTCAGTGAAGGTCAGTATCCTCAACTCAGGGCTAGTTCCTCCCAGTGACTTCCTCAGTGGAGGTAAGTATCCTCAACTCAGGGCTAGTTCCTCCCAGTGACTTCCTCAGTGGAGGTAAGTATCCTTAACTCAGGTCTAGTTCCTCCCAGTGACTTCCTCAGTGGAGGTAAGTATCCTCAACTCAGGGCTAGTTCCTCCCAGTGACTTCCTCAGTGGAGGTAAGTATCCTCAACTCAGGTCTAGTTCCTCCCAGTGACTTCCTCAGTGGAGGTAAGTATCCTCAACTCAGGTCTAGTTCCTCCCAGTGACTTCCTCAGCGGGGGTAAGTATCCTCAGGTTTAGTTCCTCCCAGTGACTTCCTCAGTGGAGGTAAGTATCCTCAACTCAGGGCTAGTTCCTCCCTGTGACTTCCTCAGTGGAGGTAAGTATCCTCAACTCAGGGCTAGTTCCTCCCAGTGACTTCCTCAGCGGGGGTAAGTATCCTCAGGTTTAGTTCCTCCTAGTGACTCCCTCAGCAGAGGTAAGTATCCTCACCTCAGTTTATGAGTTTATTCTGATCCTTACAAATGTCTTCCAATAGGTTCTGCATTTAATCATGTTAATGTCTGGAATAATGAGTCTCCACTGTATATGATTTTTCATTGTAGTTTGAATTGTTCAAGGCAAAGCAAAGAAAACATATCTCAGTTCGAAATTAACTGTTTAAAGTACTAGTCTATACTGATTAGCCACATTTAATTTTGTTAGCCATTAAAGCAAATCACCAGTCCACTAATTATCATAAAAACGAGATGCTAGAATCTAGCATTATCTCATTACAAATTTGTATTCCACTTGAACAAGTTTAATTACTGAACTATCAGAAATAAAACAAAAATAATAAAGAAAAAACTTAAGGTATTTTTTAACTGCATATACACACTTTGCCATATCCATTGTATTTTATCCTGTATTTTACCTCATAGTGTTATAGATGACAGTGATGTTTATTTTAGGTTTAGATCCAGATGATCCAGTTCATTTTAGAAAATGTTTAGAAGATTTAGAGGAGAAGATGATGAAAGAACAAAGGTAATTCATGTAGTAATCACCCTCACTAGATATTTTAATAGTCAGATTTGGTCACAGAGGATCACTTCTCGGTAAAAATATATGTGTTGACCTATAGGGCTGATATTGGTTCCTGTCTAGAAAAGCTTATCATTGTCCTTATCCGTCAATGACTTTAGGCCACATGCATGTAGTTTTTTGTATCTCATGCATCACTTTAGATCTAGTCAACTGTGTGTTCATCTGACCCTCCCTCAGTATTTACAGATACATCCTTTGTATGAAGCTTTGTATACCTGATGCCTGGGTTTTGGCAACGTCACATACTACCTAACTGATTCTGCCACAATCTTTTCTAATCTGTAAACCTTCCTACTGCATTTTTTGGCATAAAATGTTGCAATTGCACACATTTTTCGCAAGGAATGAACTGCATCTACTCTGCATTCTCTCTCCCACGGCACAATAGTACCATTACCCAGAAATGTATAATATAATTATTATAAAATAGACTTGAGTCTTGTGGGTATTGTCATGATACGATACATATCACAATTTTATGACATGATACCAATGTATATCATGATACAATTAAATATACAATGTAAAGCAGAAAATTGTTTCTTTAGTTCTGTATAATGAAATAATAATGGTAAAACAGTATAACATCATGTGTATAAAAGCAATTTTATTGTATTATTTGGAAAAGGAAACTTTATTTACTCAATCACTTACAATAGAAATTAATTTTTAAAGATTTTCAAATGCCAGATTTAAATTCCACTATGCATATTTCGCTTTTAGATGCCATTCTCAAAAACTTTTAATTATTGTTTTTTTTATAGTTATAAAACCACTTCTGGTATCATGTTTCCAGATTGACGATAGGTCATACCAGTATCATTGAGACACACGATTAGTACAATCAATATAATATTGCTGTATCAATACAGCTCTATTTTAAAATAATATTTAAATATATAATTATTTTCATCTATTTAGATTTTTGTATGTATACTGGTATGTACTTAAAACTGATGTAGAATGTTGACCTCTAACAATGAATGCTTTGTTTTAGGTATGACATTGCGCTGTCACACGTTCAGGGTATGAAACAGATTTTTGCTGCATGTACCAGCTCCAGCAGTTTACAAAACCTGTTAAAAAACAGTGACCTTGACCTGCTTAAAATGGTCTACCTGAGGTCTTGGTCAGGATCTAGTATGGACTCCTAGAGAATTTGAAAATACCCGTATATGGATATTTTGAGAATCTTGCTTGTGTTTAGAGAGATAGAGAGTGAGTTGATACCGGTGTGTACATCTTTACAATTTATAATGGAGAATACTTCTATTGTATATTTTTAGCTAATTTGAAAATCCTATTTATTGTGGAAATTACGTTGTATTGTACTTTTGAAGTTGATTTTTTTTATTTCTGGAAATGAATGCAGGCAGTTGATTTTTTTTACTTCAGAGACCAGAAGAGCTTATGCGAATTAATGTTGATGTATATTTCTCTGTCTGTCTATTTGCCTCTATCTGTAAACAATTTTTAAAAACGCAACTTCTCCTACAGTTTTGGTCTGATTTCGATATAACTTGGCACACAAGTAAACTACACTAAGATACATTATATAGAGCATTATTTCAATGAACGGTGTTGCCATGGTTACTAAAAATAGAATCTTCTGTGAAGTTCCTGTCAAACGCTACTCATACAATTTTGGTCTGATTTCAATATAACTTGGCACACAAGTAGACTACACTAACATACATAGAATAGTGCATCAGTTTTTAGGTCACCTGAGTAAACTCAGGTGACCTATTGCTATCCGTTTTCGTCCGTCGTCGTCCGTCGTGTGTCGTGTGTTGTGTGTCGTGTGTCGTGTGTTAACATTTGAACATTTTGTTCTTCTTGCAACCACTGAACCAATTTCAACCAAATTTGGCACAAAGCATCTATGGGTGAAGGGGAAGGAAAATTGTGAATTTCATGATCCCTGCCCCCCTGGGGCCTGAGGGTTGGGGCCAAAACCACTAAAATTAATGCAATCTTTAAAAATCTTCTTCTTTACTCCTGGACATCAAGCAGTCAAACTATTTGCATGATTGTAATCAGCATTGAGTCCTCTACCAAAATTGTGAAATTCATGGCCCTGGGGTCAGGATTCTAGTGCTAGGGCGGGGCTAAAGTATATAGTGAAAATTCATTATTTCTTTGAAAATCTTCTTCTCTGCTCCTGGGTATTAAATAAACCAACTAAGTACATAGTTATGATGAGCAAGAGTGCCTCTACCAAAATTGTGAATTTTATGGCCCCAGGGTCAGGGGTTCTGGTGTTAGGGAGGGGCTCTATTGATTATATAGTAAAAATACATGGTTTCTTTGAAAATCTTCTTCTCTGCCCCTGGGTATTAAATAAACCAAGTAAGTAAATAATTATGATGAGCAAGAGTGCCTCTACCAAAATTATGAATTTTATGGCCCCAGGGTCTAGGGTTCTGGTGTTGGGGGGGGCTCTATTGATTATATAGTGAAATTACATGAATTCTTTGAAAATCTTCTTCTCTGCTCCTAGGTATTAAATAAACTAACTAAGTACATAGTTATGATAAGCAAGTGTTCCTGTACCAAAATTATGAATTTTATGGCCCCAGCTTCAATGTGTTCTGGTGGGGGGGGGGGGGGGGCTTTATATTAAATAGTGAAAATACATGAATTCTTTGAAATCTTTTCTCTGCTCCTAGGTATTAAATAAAAATTAAGTGCATAGTTCTATGAGCAAGAATGCCTCTTCTAAAATTATGAATTTCATTGCCCCAGGGTCTGGGGTTCTGGTGTTAGGGTGGGGCTCTATTGATTATATAGTGAAAATACATTGTACATTAAATCTTTGAAAATTTTCTTCTCTGTCTCTGGGTATGAAGCAGATGAACTACCTATATAGTTATGATGAACAAGGGCCCTGATCTTAACAGAATTGTGAATTTCAAGGCCCCAGGGTCAGGGGTGGGGGGGAATTGATATACTGAAAATGAATTAATTGTTTTAAATCTGGTCCTTTGTATTTATAAAACATTTATTTACTTTTTGATAGGCAATTTTAAGGGTGCCTTTTAAAAATTTGTGCAACCTAGGGTCAGGGGTTTATGTGAGAGTGTTAGGGGCACTACTGATTATTGATTAATATTACTGATTAGTTGGAGTGCATTTTTGTTCCCCTACCCTGCTTATGGGTATTCAGTAACCAAGCTAAGCAACTGCTAAGTTTATTGTTATGATGATCAATGGTGCCCTTTCAAAATTGTGAATGCCATATAGCATCTGGCTTAAAACATGAATCAAATTCAATACACTGTAACTGGAAAGTTGTTGCATAATGCTCAGGTGACCTATAAGGCCCGTGGGCCTCTTGTTTATTTCAATGAACGGTGTTGCCATGGTTACTAAAAATAGAATTTTCTATGAAATTCCTTTAAAACGCTATTCCTTCCACAACTTTGGTCTAATTTCAATATTACTTGGCATAGAAGTAGACTACACGTAGATACATAATTGTTAACATTTTTGATTTCAATGAACGGTGTTGCCAGGACTTGTTACTAAAAATAGAATTTTCTGTGAAATTCCTTTAAAATTGCTACTTTATTCAATTTTAAAGTCTGATTTCAATATAACTTGGCACACAAGTAGACTACACTTAGATACATAGAATAGTGCATCGGTTTTTGATTTCAATAAAATGTTGCCATTGTTACTAAAAATAGAATTTTCTGTGAAATTCCTTTAAAACACTACTCCCTTTAAAGTTTTGGTCTGATTTCAATATAACTTGGCACACAAGTAGACTACACTTAGATACATAGAATAGTGCATCGGTTTTTGATGTCGATGAACAGTGTTGCCATGGTTACTAAAAATAGAATTTTCTGTGAAATTCCTTTAAAACGCTACTCCTTCCTCAATTTTGGTCTGATTTCAATATAACTTGGCACACAAGTAGACTACACTAACATACATAGAATAGTGCATCGGTTTTTTATTTCAATGAATGGTGTTAAAAAAATTTAATTTTTAGTAAAATTCCTTTAAAACGCAAAAACCTTCTACAGTTTTAGTTTGATTTCAAAATAAGTTGTGTGCACAAGTAGACTACACAAGATACATAAAATAGTGCAATGGTTTTTGATAAGTACAAACCAGTAGAGCTACAGTCTCGACAGAGACTTCTGGTTTTAATTCTGGAAATGAAATGCAGGTAAATTAATGTTGATGTATATTTCTTGTTTATTTGCCTTTTGTCCTTTTAAGCTCACCTGAGCCAAAAGCTCACGAGTGAGCTTTTCATGTACTATGAAATTTGTCCATTTTCTGTCATTGGTGTTGATGTATTCTTAAATTTGCTACAATGAATTTAATTCAGAAAATATATGAAAATTCAATAAAGCAAGTTGTCAATTCATTTTAACAAATTCATTTCGTTATATCAAAGAATTTGTTCAAATGAAATTCATTACACCAGATATTAGAAATCTATATTACTGTTACCAAATTAAAATTTGTTATATCAAATTCAAAATTTTTAAAATTGTTTTTTACAAAAAATATATATTTGTTATATTGAATAAAAAAATATCATTTGATAAGCCCTTATTGAGTTTCTGTACAGGTTAAGGTTTTTAGTGTATTTGTACTGTGCATTATTCAGAATGCTTAAGCCCTGTATGTTGACCAACCTTGCATGGTCTGATTGGATGATTTATCAAAGGATGCACGCTACTAGATTTCTTCAGATACGGGCTCAGACCTACATTTTCCAGTTGAGTGACCATCTTAAAGATTTTGATGGTGATTCATTCTAAAGCAACCAGAAGCCATATGTTACCGGAAATAGTATTTATTGCCATGGACTTGATTTTCAAAAATGAGGGACCATTATAATTAAGGCTTTTCTTGCAAACTTGCATGGATGATGCATCTTTGTGTGAATGTTTTAAAACTTGATTCATATGCTGGATTTGAATTATATTTTCTGGATGAGTGCAGTTCCCAAGTAACTGCAAGCCCTATCAGATCAAATTGCCTCTTGGGATGTACACTTTTAGATTGTTAATGTGGGACTTTTTCTTACTTAAAAATGACATTTGTTGAGATAAGTTTTGTAATCTTTGATTACCTATGTTTTAGTATCTCTCTATGCATATTTATCTGTTTATATGCACTTATTTCATATTCCTATTCATTTGTGTTTGTTAATACTTTGTCTTTTTTTTTTGTATCTTTTTATCTTAAAATAAAAATTGAAATCATTTCTATAATTCATTATAATTATGAATACTTGTCATTGTCAACTGTTTCACATTTTTAGCTCACCTGAGCCGAAGGCTTAAGTGAGATTTTCTGACACATTTTGTCCATTATGCCTTCCGCCTGTCCGTTGTAAACTTTTCACATTTTCAACTTCTTCTCAAGAACCACTGGGCTGATTTTAACCAAACTTGGTACAAAGCATTGTTGGGTGAAGGGGAATTGAAATTGTCAAAATGAAGGCCAGGTCTTCTTACTAGGGGAGATAATCAAGAAAATACAAAAATAGGGTGGGGTCATTAAAAAATCTTCTTCTCAAGAACCACTGGGTTCAGAAAAGCTGAAACTTTGTGGAAGCATCCTGGGGTAGTGTACATTTTAAATTGTTCAAGTCATGACCCCCGGGGGTTGTGAGTGGCCACAATAGGGAATCAAAGTTTTACATAGAAATTTATAGGAAATATCTTTAAAAACCTTCTCAAAAACCACTGGGCCAGAAAAGCTGAAACTTATGTGGAAGCATCCTGGGGTAGTGTAGATTTTAACTTGTCCAAATTATGACCTGTTGGGTACGATGAGGTCAAAACAGGTATTACAAGGGCATAATCTTGTTAAGAATAGCATAAATTCTCAGGTGAGCGATGTGGCCCATGGGCCTCTTGTTGATAATTGTTAACATTTGTAACCATGACCCTTTTTAGAGGACTTGTACTAAGACAATACCTAATGTTTTAATTTAAAGTTTTTTTGAAATCGGTATTTTATTACATGTATATAAAGTCAAATAACATAAGTAAATGGACAATACCTAATGTTCGTTTCACTTACTAGTATGTTATTTGACTTTACATAATAAAATATTGATTTCAAAAAATGTTTAAATTTGTTCAGTACAAGGGAAACATTTAGAAGTAAAAGAGCAATATTGCAATAAGACTGCAACTGTAGCAGTAGCTTTTATTACAATTTTATAGACTTTTCAATTTAGTTACCATGGCAACATCATTGTTTGAAATAAATTTTTAAAAAGTAATAAAGACAATAATGTATCTTAGTGTAGTTTATCTGCATGCCACATTATATCGTTTCAAACAAAAACTGTATTTGTGATAGCATTTTTAAATTATTTTAAAGAAATTTCTATTTTTAGTTA